AAATATTATTATTATTAAAATATTATATTATTCATAAATCAATATTTTTATGTATTTTTATGTAATTATTATATTTGTATTTTTATTCATGTATATATATATATATATATATATATATATATATATTTTTTTTTTACTATTATTACAAATAATTATTTATTTTTGTTTACATGTTTGATGGTTTTAAAAGTGATTTTATTACATTTTATTCTTATTTATTCAATGATAATTATAACAACAATAAATAATAATAAAACAATTCTAAATAATACTTCTGTATAATAATTCTAAATGATACTTATATTTATTAAGTTGTTTGTTTACTTATAAATCAATAAATAATGCCATAAGAGGATATATCAAAATAGATTAAGAATAAATGCTTGTTTTCTATTGATATTTCTACTCAGTAGCACTTTCTGATCAGAAGCCCTTGTTTAGAGAAGCAAGCCCTTGTTCTTTCCTTCTGTCCTGATGATTGTTCATGGATCGGTAGACTGCTCAGGTACAATGGAAGGTGATAATTTGAAGGTGCTAAACAGCTACAGCAGGGATGATAATTTTCCAGCCCAGGTTTCACAGGTGACAGAGGGATGATTATAGGAGGTGAGGACCTTGAGAGTCTGTGCTGTCACCTGTGTGATCTGCTGTCAGAGAGACACTCACACAAAGTCACATATGCAAACTCATGCCACTGTATGTCTCGCACTCCTGTTCTCACTCCCTGTGGGAAACCAGTTCATGTGTGCGTATTCGTGACAGAAATCTCTGCAGTCATTTTTAGTATTAATGAGCGAGAGTATTATCTTCATTTTATGTATACTAAGTATCGATGACTTAGTAATTGAACACTCACCGGTCTTTATGGCTGCAGCAGCTGCTGTTGTTAAAAAAAAAAGAGATAAACGTAAATCAGTATTACTCAGAAATTGTTTTGTCAGGGTGTATTTACCAGTGCAAAGTTTTCTTTTTTCTTTTCTTTTTCCTTGTTTTGTTGGTGTTGTTTGATCATTTACTACTCACTGTTTACACTCAAGATACCAACACAATTAACATAAAAGCGTATTATTATAATCCTCACTGCAGGAATACTACACAATACACAGTTGCTCATTTCTTTTTTTTTTTTCTTTTTTTTTTACAATTTCCTTTCAGATGCAAACACTTCCTATTACACTTTGAATAATTGCATTGGAGTGTTCTGTTTTAGATTTCTGTTTAGCCTTTTAAAATCTCACAAGTAAAGTTTTTTTTAAAGGCACCATTTTACATTCCTGTAACTTTCTTCGCCCTACCTTTACATTTCTTATTAGCCTATGTTTTGAAAGCGTGTGTGCGTATGCTCAAGCATGAACGTACACACGTGTGTATGTGTGTGTGTGTGTGTCGTTACCCGTGGAAACTTGAAGCCCTGTCATAAAGCAGCTTTTGCCATTTTTCTGCTCACCAATCATTAGTTCCTTCAACAATGGCCCTCTTGTTTTACCCCCTTTTATTTGATTATTTCTCTTCATGTAGGTCTGGGTGGTGGTGCCGGAGCGAAAAGCGGCCTTCTAATATTTCCTTTCAGGAGTGGCTGGTGATTTAGGGGGTCTGCTAAGGCCTGTGGTTTTGAGGGGGTGTGGGATGTCCGAGGGGAAGGGGGCAGCAGTGACACCATAGCTCAGGAGTTACTTATCGCCATTGTCTATAAAAGGGCAACAGAAAGACACGGCAGAGACAGAAGAGCGGGGGGCTTCTAACGATTGAGAGGGGCGAAAGCGGATATCCCAAAACACATGGCCCCCAGTCATGAGACCCCCTGAGGAACACCAGCGCGGGGTGTCTTCTAATGCCACTAACCAATTAAACAGAGGTCAGTGCGTGATGATACGTTAGCAGCGGCAACAATTCATGAGTCGAAGCATTCCAGGCTACATGAGAACTCATGCCGAGAACTTAACTCCTAATCCTCATAAACGTATCGCAATATTGTCGGCTATACATGGGGCCTTTCTCTTTCCCTTGGACTGCGAAAAGACAAGCTGTGCTGCCCTATACTTATTGATTGGTTTGGTTTGTTAGCTGTCCATTGTTATTGTGTAATCAGGCCTGAGAGGGAGAGGGCTGACAGGAATTCATATGAGGCCACTCTAGCTTAGCTGATATATTCTCTGCTTAATATGCACAAAGGCCAACGGATCGGACTTATTTACTGAAGAAACAGATTGAATTATTAATAAGAATAAAGGGAAGCGCTGCGGTGGCTCACAGGACTGTTCCATGGGTGTTTCTCTCAACGTAAAACACCATTTAATTTGATGAAATACGATGGCGTCGGGGCTATTTCCCCTCCTCCGTCATACACCACATACTGATTTTTGTTTTATGGGTCGTAGGGAGAAATTAAATGATTTTGAAGTGCGCTTAAAGGAAAAACCCTTCTAGGAATCAGGCCTTTATTCCAGTTAAATGGCGGCCACATTGTTCCATTCTCAGCCGTGGGTGCAGATTAGCTTGGTGGATGTGAGTGGGGTGGGGGGTGTTATGGTTGGGAGGGAATGGGGGGCAAAACTCATGAACCCCAGCACTCACGGGCTGAGCTGCCCTCCCAGCTCTCCTAATGAATTATTAACTCCAACTGACAAATACTGTTACGGGGCCTTGGCTCAGATCTGTTGCGTTTTCGAGTAAAATTGCTGTAGACACATGTTACAGGAGGATGGAGTCAGCCCCTCTCTCTCTCTCTCTCTCTCTCTCTCTCTCTCTCTCTCTCTCTCTCTCTCTCACTATCATGCCTCAGCAGTTTGACTGATGGCTAGAGACTGGAGGGAAAGGCCTGAGAGACTGAATATTTTAGAGGTAAAATAATACCACTTGATTTACTGTGTAATACAAAAGAAGTGCTTTGTTTCGCTCGCAGTCCATTGAAGATGAAGGTGGGGGTTGTTGTGCTGGAAGCTCCGGCTCTTTGGATCCATGAATAAAAAATCTCTCTCTCTCTCCCTCGCTTTCTCTTCCTCTAGCCGTTGCGTGCCCCTTTCACACACCGTTCGGCGCTCTGAACTTTGCTCTTAAATTTGATTTTCAATTAACGCTCCACAATTTAAGAGATCACTTTCTGTTTGATATAATTACAGGAAACAATTTATTGGCTGATTAAAATTGAGGCCTTGGTCTCGCTAAAGAAAATAGGGGTGCGGAGCAGTCTAGGTCTCTGGTGCCTTCCTCTGCGCTAACTAACAGACTTAGCTTGTTTGCACAGCTGCGATATCCCGCTTGATTAACTTCCATTGACTTCCATTGTCCACTTCTGTTGGCTTCCGCAGAGCTCATCCAAGACTTTGCGGATGTGTATGTATTATTTTTTATATATATTTCTTTGGTAAGCATAACACACTTAATATTACTGAAGCTAGCATGAGACAATAGTAGCTTGTGGCTTTTTTTTTTTTAAAGCTCGCTTACCGAACTGTATTAAACAATTCATATTGAGAGTGTGAGGCTTAAGTGCTCAGCCATGTGTGCAAATTGATGGCACATCTTCAAATGAAGTAGTCATACTTTAAAGGGCCTGAGAGCAATTGGGCCTGACAGCCCGTTGCAACCCACACATCCCTCATGCGCCGGAGTGCACGGCCGCCGCACGCACATGAACAGATTAACTCACAGTTTGGTGTTAAAATAATCTCTCCCGGTGTCAAATTTGTTTTCGTCCCACGATGAGCCACATGCTGGAAAACTTGGCAGGGCTGGAGATGGAGTTCTGGAGGCACCTTGGGCTTCCTTCATTACCCAGCCTGCCTCTCTCTCATCTCTCTGCAGTCTCAGTGGGCAGTGGAAGGACATTAGCTCACCTGCAGCCCTTGACCTAGAACGCCCATGCCCTTTGTCCATGCTAATGTGGCTAGCTGCAGCGCGTTCAACTTCCATAGCCTTTCGTAGACTCTGGATATCTCAGACTCAAAACAATAATGCTCATCACTGTGGTCAGCAGTCGTGTGTATGCCACTGTTCATGATGGGGGCTGGCTGTCTAGTGTAAATTACTATCTCTGAGTAGACAATTTAAAGGCTGGCAGAAAAGTTGTGTGCTGGCTAATTCTCAACTCATTAGATCAGTTGGAGTCTTTTGATTAAGTATTTAAATCAAGCTTTTAATTCAATTAGCAGTTTAAGTATTCATTTCCATTTCCTTAGCAGTAGTAGAGTGATTTTATTAATTGTCATAAAACACAAATGACCTGTTGATTATTTTATTTTATTTTATTTTATTTTATCACTGAAAGTTTGTGGGATTAAAGAAACTTGGTTGAGTTTTATGCTATATGACATGATGACTTTTGTTTGAAACAAATGCATTTACCAACCCAATTTTGTGAAATGGGAAAGTTGCTATAAATCTTAAAAGTTACCTCCCATCTGCCACAGCAGCCTACTTGCATTAATTCCTAAGTACAATTGCAAAAGCAGAATAGCACAATTACTACAAAATGAAGGAAAATGGCACATTTATAGACTCGATATGAATGTAATGACCAAATTCCCGTTAAGTGTCAGCGTCTCAGCGTCACCGCTCTTTTAGTGGTTGGTGGCAGGGTTAGTGCTTTAATGAGAGCGTGCTATATGGTATGGTAACCCTCTTAGTGCGGTAATCAGCCATGGGGCGGGGGGATCGGGCCTGCCTCAGGCAGCTCTCCAGCCGTAGCTCAGCACGTCCATTTATATTAAACAAAGGATTAAGAGGGACCCCAGTGTATGCCGTATTCCCCGCACCAAGCTCAGAGCCATTGATAGGATCTCCCCAGCTCTGATACCGGTTCAATCGTGGGGTTAGATGTGGCGCGGAGGCTCAGAACGGCTGCCAACTTCATATATGTGATGTGAGAGCACTCGTAGAGAATGAAAGCCGAGATTCAGCATTTCCTGTCTGACATTTGCGAGACTCTTTATTCTGAATTATGTTGTTGCATTGGAAGTTTGAATATGTTGTCTGACACTTCTCCTCTGCTCTTCTCTCAGCAGAATCATGTCTTCCAAGCAAGCCACTTCTCCATTTGCCTCGACCCCTGACGGAGGTGAGGATGGATTGAATCAGGAGCGCATGTCCTGGGAGAAGGAAGAGAACTCTGAGTCGCTAGTCGCCCCTCAGCTGCCCCTGCACAATCTGCTCCACAACAAACCTCCCCTGGAGGAGCTTCAGGCAATCAGCAGCAGCGTGCCGCCCGAATCCGACTGGGAGAGCCTGATGTCGGCCCAGCAGCGCATGGTGAGTGCCACTGCCAGCGTTTCATAGCTCATTTACGTGTGCTAACACAGGCTACGTGTGTTGTTTTTATTTTCTAATGAAGTGTAGATGAAATATTGCATTATTCAAGATAGTTTGCAGGATTCAAAGAGTGACAACCGTCTGGTCGAGGTTATTCATCTAGAACTCTCTGGATATTTTCCGTTTACGACACAATCTTACAACATTAACACAACATCAATGTCATGGAGTAAACCTCCAGATGTATCCCACATCTATTCTCTCAAAACAAACACACACACACCCTCTGTACTCCTACAGAGAGGAATCCTCAACCCAAGGACACAGCTAGAAGGGAGCAGGCCTCTCTGGAACACTTGAATGAAGACTTAAGACTTTGCGATTTGCCAAGGACTCGGCTTTGAAGCCTAAGTCCCCCACAAGCGCCTGGAGATCCCTCACACTGTAAAAGTGCAGGAGAACCACGTATTGAATTGCATTTCATGTCAGAGCGATTTTATGAATCTATAAATAGAGAGACAATGAGAAAGCGGATGAGGAGTGGGAATTTGAGGGAGTTGAGGGAGCCCCCCCTTCCTCCGTGGTGGTCTCTCTAGACCAAGAGGCATAGAGCCCAGACGTGAGACTGACAGCCACTTATTGTTCGATGCTTGTAAAAGGGAATTCTCTATAAACCTTCCCTCTGCTGCGGCTGCTTGCCCAGAGCTAGGATGACTCTGACCAGCCCCCGGGGTCTGGACTCCCCTGGCCCAGCAGCATCCAGGCGCAAAACCCCACTTTAATTAGCCTAAAAATTCAGCTGTCATGAGAGGATTTTTGCCTTTCTCTTTAGCTAAAGTTTGCATTCCATTGGTGGCAACACCACAGCATATGGTGTGACATCAAATGTATGTTAGGGACAACAGGATGCACTTTTGCACCCATAGGAAGGAAAAATGAGAAATGAGATCCCTTTTTTAACTCAAATACTTCTCCCTAGAAAGCGATGAGATTAAATAAAGGTCAAATGGAGACTTTTCTTATCTGAACAGCTTTTCAGATTTTTCACATGAAAAGAATTGCATCTCTCTCCTGTAGAAGTTCACATCCACAATGTTTCAATCTATGCTCTATGCTCAGATGTGCCAAAATATCAAAAGTTTTCAATATGAACATTTCTAATCAATTTTCTATCTAAAATATATTAATATAATATAATATAATATAATATAATAATGGTTGTCTTCACCTCTTCATCACATGTAAATCCAAGACTTCAACACTGCTCAGGTGGTGCTGTTTCCTAATTGGATTACAGAGAGCTTTTGTGATTGGTGTAATTAGAAGAGCATTTCAAAGAATTGTTACCGCACTGCTGTGGTTGGATATGCATGGGATGATCTCTCAGTTTCCTCTTGATATAATGAGGGAAAGCATATGAAAAGTTAATTGTGCTCATTTGATGTTCAAGTGCAGCTGCTTGTGTTTGATTTGCAGTGAGCGGTGCACTTGCACTCGCTTGTCTTCACATGAGCAGGACGTCCTGTTGTTGAGTGAGTTTTTTCTTCTTCAGTGGGGTTGTAGTTTGTTTTAACTCTCACCTGATAAAAACTTCACTGTACTGTGGATAAAAACGTCTGTAAAATGTAAATGTAATGTGAAGTATGTTTGTGCAAACTCTTCCTGTATACATTTGACATTATGTTTAGTGTATAGTGAAGTGAGTCATGCCTTTAGATCTGGTATGTCAATATAAGTGTAGAGAATGGCATTGAATAAAAGATAAAAAGGGTAAAGAAGATGTACGAACATACACATAAGAATGCCAGCACTGATAATGAGTTTTGGAGGTTGGCAGTAAATAAATACTGAACCAGAGTATAAAATGAAAGACAGAGAGTTGTCTCTGCTATTGGTGTAATTGGATTTATTAAAATGACATTATTGTTAAATTATCACAGTTTCAAATAACTATTTTTTATTTTAATATATTTTAATGTATTGTTTAATATATTTTAGGTAATTTATTCCTGTGATGGCAAAGCTGAATTTTCAGCATCATTACTCCAGTCTTCAGTGTCACACGATCCTTCAGAAATCATTCTAATATGCTGATTTGGTGCTCAAGAAACATTTCTTATTAATATCAATATCAAAAACAGTTGTGCTGCTTAATATTTTTTGTGGAAAATAAACCGTTACATTTTTTTCAGGATAAATTGATGAATAGAAAGTTCAAAAGAACAGCATTTTTGCTTAAAACAATCTTATACATGTATTTGCTGTCACTTTTGATCGATTTAATGCATCATAGCTGAATAAAAAAAAAAATCACTTCTTAAATCTTACTGACCCAAAAATTCTGAACCATAGCATATTCGTATAAATTGAGATAATTTTTTTTTGAGACAATAGAGTAAGAGTATATACATTTTTTTCAGTTTGGTCATTGAAGAATTTGATGAGATATTTGAGTTCATATTGGTATCGCTGACTTTTGATTGTAGACTTTAATATCAAAAGTCTCCAATTAATCTTGTTGTCTTGTACAAAACATTGAGATATTCTATATGTCACCTGCAAATTTGACTTCATGTGTGTGTTAGCAGAACCCTCAAGTCTGTGCCAGCTGATTTGTGTGATCTCATTCGTGTACTGCTGCCACATAATCACACTGCCCTAATGCCCGTCTGTGCCCTGCTCTCCAAACATACACCTGCCAGTTTTCCTCTCATTGATGGAACAATCCTATGCCCAAATTCTTCTCTCAGGACTCCCTCTCCACTCACTAATATGCTTTTGCACTTTATATTTTACAATCACTCAGTAGTGTTTAGGAGTTAGGATCAGACAAACAGATCGCTTCTCCCTTTCGCTCTGTTTTCCCTCTCTGTGTTCTCGCTCGGGGAACACTGAACTATCAGCTGCAGACAGAAGCTCAGTTAACCACTAAACCACACACAGGTGGGACCGCAAAACAACAGCAGTTTGAGACGGGGCCCAGATTTACGATGGCCTTGGAGGGTTCCGTGCGGAACAGTCGCCTGCTCGAGAACCAACAAATTACACTGTGCTCGAGCTCGGATCAAACACGCACTCGTAACCTTTGCAAAGGAATTACAGCGATGACTATTGTGTTGAGAAAAGAGTTGTTAAACACCATTCATCTACACTAATCTAAGCTTTTAATTGTCTTAACCACAAAGTCAGGACATTAGCCAAATTTAAGGGCTTCAACCAGTTCATGAGCAGTTGAAAAATGTCTCCCAGTTCAATTGAGTTTAATGTGAGACCAAATATTCACTATAGGGTTCAAATCTGGACTTTGACCAGGCCAAAACATAAGCCTGAAGTCCATCAGGAAGACCATGCTTCACTGTGGTAGTGATGCATTTATTATTATATTTCACACTAAATTTTCGAAGGCACCACTCTGGAGCATCACCACGCAACTCGTGTTTCATTGTGATTTATCACTCCACACACAACTTCCCATATTCTGGCAAAAACTTAATTCTGTCTTTGATGCTTTTCTAAGACAGCAATTGCTTTTTAAGTAGTGCATTTGCTTAACATGGATTAAAACAACATTGACTTTTCTTCCTGTAAAAAGCTGTCTGCAAGTTGGGGAAGGCTATTCCATGCTAAATTACTTTATCTTCACTATTTGTGCAATTCTTGCTAATTTCCTGACCAGTGATTTGTGATTTAAAATGGTTAAGACCAGTAAAAGACCACTGAATATTTTGCCATTTTAAGCTTGGCCCCCCCCCCCCCCCCCCTTTTTTTTTTTTTTTTTTTTTTTTTTTTTTTTGTCAAGTAGTGTACTCTGTAATCATTTAAAGTGTCCTAAACTCACTATCTCTAATATAAATAGTATGTCTTCAGCATTTTCTTAATTTTCAAATCAATTATTACATTTTAAATGTGATCATGTTGCTATCTTTTGTTGTACTTTGACATTTAATGTCCATTTTGGCATAAAGTAAAAAATCTTCTCTAAAACTCTTTTGTGTTTTCCTGCAGGAATCGGACAGCAATAAAGTATGTTCCTTATACTCCTTCCGGAATAACTCTACCTCTCCACACAAACCAGAGGAGGGGGCCAGGGAGCGCGGCGACCTGCTGAGCAGCTCAGCCTTCGGAACGCCAGAGCGCCGCAAAGGAAGCCTGGCCGATGTGGTGGACACACTGAAACAGAAGAAACTAGAGGAGATGACAAAGACAGAGCATGACGGTACAGAAGGTTTCAGCTTGTTTGTGTGTTTAGATTTAGGAATATACGTGTGTGAGAGCAAATGTTTTTTTCCTCTTAGCGAGAAGCGGTTTTTGGCGTGCATCGATCTCCTCAGTCACTCTGTTTTCCTCGTTCGCCTGTCCTCCTGTATGCTATATTCTTTCTCATTCAACATAATCTTTCTCTTTTCTCCCGCTGTACACACACACACATACAACGTCGTTTAATCAGGGAGGACTGACGTGGCTATGTTTTCCAGTTTGTTCTGAACCAAGTCCAGTGTGACAAAGAGTGGGTGGCACTACCCCTCAGCTTAAGTGTGGTCTCCGGGCGATGCCAAACCAAACTCTCAGACCATAAAACACACGCCACGACCTGACGCCAGGAACATTACCTTTTTATTCTTCAGTACAGACGACAGCATTCATGCCGCAAAATTCATCTACAGACCAACTCAAATAGCTCCAAGAACACTTTTTCTTCCATGTGTTTAGGGCCCAGAAGTATCCACGGATTGGGCAATTACATTTGAAAGATATAAAATGCATATGTATTGTGTAATAATTTTATTATATGAAGGATTTATGCATTTGGGTAGGTATAAGTTGTAGCTTCTGCAGCAAGTTGTTCGGTAAAAGTCAAAATCCAGTCCTATGACTAAAAGGAGAATCAAGTTAATTGATACAATTTATTTTTATTGTGTTTTATTTATTTATTTATTTATTTTTTAAATTAATGAATAGTTTGATGCAGATCATGCCGCAGTGGAGCGAGTCCTCTGGGAATAAAAAGCAAATACGAGAAAGAGTTGCTGAAACGGTTCCTCTCCTCATAATTAGTGTAAAGCAGAAACCTATACAATCAAATTACACACACACACACACACACACACACACACACACACACACACACACACACACACACACACACACACACACACACACACACACACACACACACACACACACACACACACACACACACACACACACACACACACACACACACACACACACACACACACACACACACACTCAGACAGTATTGCTCCTTGGGGAGATACTAGTCTCATTTAAGCATCTGGGGAACTCTTAGCCCGAACACTTGATCAGAGGAATAAATTAGGCCATAATTCAGTTAAAAGTACTTTTTTTCCTCACATATTTTTTTTCTCCCTTTCTGTGAAGGTCTTCATATTAATTTAATCGTATTTGTTTATGGTCGGTTTCATTATCGCCAAGGGTTAGAAAAATATTTTGAATAAGAAAATAGGACAAATTAAATAAATCTGAGTGAGAGGCTGTCAGTCATGAATATTTTCATATTCATAATTGATATAGAAAATTATGACAAGCCATCCATTATCATAAAGGGGCTTCATTTTGTGGGGCGGTGCAATGAAATAATTTAACAGCAATCTAAATTTATGTGAACTGATTTAAGATTTTTTTTTCCTCTAAAAATATTTCCACCTATAATTTGCCTGTCTGTCAATTAAGGTGCCGTATTAAACAAAACGCAGTTTTGGAAATAGTATTTAAAGTGACTTGCTGTATAACCTGTATAATCTTTTGATGCATTTTTTTTTCTCACCTCTCCTGCATCTCTAGCTTAATGGTATCCAGAGGTAGTGTGAAGGGCTGGTGTTCTCATAGGTTGCTCCTGTTTTTTTCTAGTAAGGTATTTTTAAGATGCGCTCTCAGCCCTCTGTGTTCTAGGGTGCTATGCTAATGAGCCCCAGCTGGTATGGCCGGTTGCTGCTGTAATTTAAATGGTCAAGTGCAGCTCGTAATCCTGAAGGCCCGTATGTTTAGTGCAGGCAGGAGAGGGTGCTTCACTTCTAGTGTACAGCTGTGTTAATCTGCCCTTAATAATGGAGACAGAGCCGACCTCATGCCTCCACACCTCACGCCACAATCTCCCCCTTTGCACAGAAATTGGTTCCTGAACTTGAGAGACACAAGAGGCATGCAGAGTTCAACACGTTAGTGCTGAGATGCTGAAATGGAGCGGTTCTGCGTCCTTGAGGACGTCTCAGTTTGGTGCAGCTGTAAGGGGAATCTTCATGCCCGCAGAACCTCAAATGTCAGGATTAACCCCTTGCGTGACTCCAAAAGCAATTTAGAGAGACATGTGTTGTCTTAACGACAAAGCATGTCGTTATGTTATGTGAGGCAAAGAATGGACAAGCTAAAAATATTGCTCATCTCAGCCTGTTATTAAGGGAACAACTGTAACCTTTCATTAGCTTACCCTGCTTAAGGTGCGGTCACACTAGAACTGTGTCCGAAATCGTGTACTGCGTTTGATAGACAACTGATATAGTAAGTCATCTGATTATTGTTCTCATACTGTTTTTAAAAACGGCACATTTGGACATATTACCCATTTGATGTAGTGCCTTTTGCATAATATATAGTAGTGGGGTAGGTTTTAACCTCACAACGAATATGTGCTACAGGAAAGGATGAAATGCTTTGTTTTTTCAAAATAAAACCATAGATTATAAATATCAATAACAAGTAATAAAAAGTAAATAAGTAATCTCAAAACTCAGCCACTGCGTCTTCAGCAGTTCGGATTTAGGAACATCAAAATGACTGCTGTGTTCGTTATTACACCCAAGAACAGAACACCACAATCGCTTAGACGCCATTCTGCTCCAGCGCATCAACAATGATGACAGCTCGCTCAGGGCGGGTCTGTGTTGAAACGCTGCTGTCAATCAACAATCATGGGAGGGGCGTCCGACGGTGTGACGTCACACGATCAGACGGCTCGATTTGAGGCAGGGGAAAACATGTAAGGAGATTAAAACAAAAACACTGGATGGATTTTTATCATTATATGATGGTTGTGTACAGGCACTGCCAACACATTTCAGTACAATCAACTTGTAAAAGTGCATGTACCATTATATGACCCCTTTAAGCTTTTCTTCTTTGAGAATGGCATTGTGTAGGCAGCAAAAAACAGTGTCTCTTGATTGAAGTCAAGGAGACGTAGATTCAGACATACTTGAAAGGTTGCATTTCATATAGACGCACACTGTACTTCATACCCGTCTTTACACACACTTAATTGAATGTGCACCAGGGCCCTAAAAGTCAACCGCTCTCAAATTCAATCAGACCTATTAGAACCATACCGCAAGTCAGTGAAACCAGACTGTCATCTCCATCTCTCCTCTCACTAACAATCCTCAAAGTGCCTTAAGTGCTTGTGACCGCTCTAATGAATGAAAATATCCTGCCTAGAGGACTGCATTAAGCTGAATAGTCACCTTCGCTGTAAAAGCGCCACATGAACCTCCTCATCCACAGAGGTCTTAGGAATTTCTGTAATTTGTATTGTAAAACATTATTTATAGAGAGCTCTCAGATGGTGCTTTTTCATTGTTTATAATGCCTAAAGAGGAAAACAAATCTAAATATAAAGAAAGAAAAATAAACTGGACAAGAGGAAAAGTGTCCATTATAAAGATTCAAGGTGACCTTGTCTTAGTTTCACAAGCAATTAAGGCCCTTTTTATGAAATGTACTTAAGTAATGATCGTTGATATATGAATCCTCTGCTGTAGGTTGTTTTCATTGTTGCTGTTATGTGGAATTTTTTTCGACAGTTTTATGAACTCCTTTTTTAGTGGAGTGATTCTTCAACCTCCATTTCAATGATCTGCTCTTACCCTTATTCAACCTTGAATTGATTTGTTTGCAGTTTAACGCTCCAAATATCATTTTTAGCAGCATATTTAGACACTGCCCATTCTCTCTCACCGACTTAATTTATCTTACTTAATCTTGTTTTTATTTATTTTATTTTATTTCGACAAAATATTACAGCATTTTGATAATATCCATGTAATCGGCCATGACAAAATTAATTCTTGGCCTATCTGTAGTGGACAGAATTTTAATATCGGCACATCCTAAGTTTTTTTTTACTTTAACATTCCCACATCACTTTGTAGCAGACAGAAAGATCTAGGGAGAAGCATCCACACCTAGTCAAGAAGGCATTCTGCCTACTGCTCTAGTTTGGGCACCAGTGAACCACTGGCTCTGCCAACTTAGTCAGCAGTCTTGTATTGGCAGGATTGGCCATGGCTGCTGGTAATAGCTTGTTTGCTACTAATCCACGCTTAGAGCCCTGTTCGTCTGAATGCCAGAATTACATTTTGCAGGCAGTTCAGTGGCAGGAGTTCAGATTGGTGGCTGAAAAATAGACCATCCATGCAGCCTGTCATTCCTCTATGACATCCTGTCAGTCTGCTCCACTTCTGCTGAAGACCACACACGCTGTTATGCAGTTACAAAATTTGTATGAGTATGAGTTGTTCCTTGTTTCAAACAAACAAACAAAAAATTGTTATATAATAGTCATAATCCTCATAGATTGGTTAAAAAACAAAAACCATCATAAAAAGTTTCTTGTGTCAGTGTCCCTGCACAGTTGCTCAACCTTATGCACCCTTGCAGTCTTTCCCCTTGTAAAGGCAAGTGAAAAGGCAAGGTTGTTAGACATGTTCAGAAATATGTCAGAGCCAACAGGTGTAGAAGTGGCACTTTCTGAAAAGGAGTGATTTACACCCTCAGGAGTGACCTGGGTGACAACAGGAACAGTTGCTAATGTGGCATGGATAAGGACTTTCTTTTGGCTGGTAACCCTGAGCCCTCTGAGGGGCCAGAGGAGAGTCGAGGTTAGCGAACGACTCAATACACCTGGAACTTTGTGTATTGAGTTAATGAGTTTAGCAGGGGTGGGGGGCAGATTCTTCTGTGCCTCCATCCCACGTAAAGCCTGATCTCTGGGACAGAGGGATATTTCTAGAGGCCCCCCACCCCCCTGCAGATCTCAGCCATTTCAGCAGCAGGTGAGCACCGGTGTGCATTTAAATAACAGCTGTGTGTGTGTGTGTGTGTGTGTGTGTGTGTGTGTGTGTGTGTGTGTGTGTGTGTGTGTGTGTGTGTGTGTGTGTGTGTGTGTGTGTGTGTGTGTGT